TCATCAAATAAGCCTCTCTTTGTAGTAGACTTCACAATCACAGTAAACCACAATTGGTAAAAATGCAGAAAACAAGTGGTTGTGGGGTTCCTGTCCCTAATAAATACATCTATAACACAGATCCTTTACCTGAGGCCACAACATCAACAAAGAGGAGGCAGAAATATTTTCAGAATCAGAATACCAGTAAGTCTGTTGTGTGAACACTTCTTCTAGAAATGACAGGAAGGCTCCACATATGATATCTCAACAATACGGCTGTCTAAGCATGACTTGAACAATGACGACAATGACAACACCAATAGCCATCCTCACACTGAGGTAGAAAATGTCACAGAGAGCCTGCCCCTCGAAAGAGAACTACAAGCAACTTAAGATTTCTGAGAGGGAAAGAATTCTTTTTTTTTCCCCAGGGATGAGGCCCTAATTGTTTAATATTAAGTGGTCAGCCCTGAAACCATACAGCAAAACAATAAGCAAATCTAAAAGTATTCAGTTGGTTTTATTTACAAATTTATATATATATATATGTGTATATATATATATATATATATATATATATATATATATATATATGTAAAGCAGTAATAACCCAAAGGAAAAAAGGTCATCAGTTTGAGAGGGAATAGGAGGGTGTGAAAGTGATTGGAGGAAAGAAAAGTAGGAGAAGAAATTATACAATTATATTTTAATTAGAAGGGAAAAATATTGGGGATAAAGGGATACATGTTTTAGAGGCTGACTAGCTCTACATCATATCCTAAGCAAGCAAGGGACAAGTAACTTTTAAGGTCATATATAGTGTATTTAGAACTGTAAATCTTTACTTCTCACACTCACATTTACAATGAAATTCTGTCAGACTTGCTATCATTTATGCTACTGTAATATCTGTGTGGTTATAAAGAAATCTAGAATACTAGGCTCAAGTTCATTCTTACAGTATTAGAAAACTGGGATTGGAATCTCACAATGCACATTATTAATTAGCACTATAGATAAGGCTTACGTCGATGGGCTTGACAATGGCAGTGTTTAAAGTTTAGGTACCTGCGGTTGTGATGAAGAAATAATTATTTCAAGAAAAACACAGGAGCATGGTTGGTAGACTGGGTGCCTAACATGTACAAAGTCCTGAGTTTGGAACCTTGTGTCTTTTGAACCTAGTATGCTAGAAAACATCTTTGATGTCATGAAGAAAAAAGAAAGGAAGGAAGAAAAAGAAATGAAGGAAAGAAGGAATAAATCAAAACACAAACTCTGAAAAAAGTAATTCACAATCTCCTTATGTTTATTTTTTATTTTTAGTTATGTATATATGTGTGTGTCTGTGTGTTTCCATGTGTGCATGAGGGCATTGCCAATGGCATCTAGAAGAGAGCAAAGGATCCCCTGGGGTTAAAGTTACAGGTGGTTGTAGCTGCCTATGTGGGTGTTGGGAACTAAACTCTGGTCTATTGCAAGAACAGTATGTGCTCTTAACTGCTGATTCATTTCTCTCATACATAATTTACATAGTCTTTTGTTTATGTATTTACTTGTTTATTTGGTTGCTTGGAACTCAACCCAGGGCCTTGTGCATGCTATGCAAGAACCCTTCTCAGCCTAATTAACTTTTAAATTTAATGTTTATAAAGCTTTCAGTAATACAATTAGTAAAAAACAATGAAATTCCTTGAAAGCTGTATTTGCTTATTCCTCTATCAGCACTGTTAAAGCCATGCCCATTTCAGACCTTTCCCCAAGCAAATTACCCTATCTCTTAAAATAGGATCAACTCTCCTGCCCTTCCCTTAGGAAAGTGCACATGCTATACCTCTTATGTGTCTTCCTACTAAACATCGTAGGTCAAATCATTCACTCAAAGAAACCCGTGCTCATATCTGTCAAAATGTAATTCACTTGTATTATTTGCATTTTTCTTTGTCTGGGATCCACACATTGTTTCCTCCTAACCTTTATTACTTGTGAATCTATATTCACATTTATACGTGTTGCCAGTTTGTTTAATGCATATATTCACCATAACACTTTAATATCCAAGAAGACATAAATCAATTTGCTCTGCTCTGTACTATATCCCCTGGGGCAGGCAAGCCCATGAAGCCATTAGACATTCATCACAAATCCAGACTAGATGATGGGGCACTTCAGATAGCCCTTTCAAGTATATCTTCCATACTTATCTACTTGATACTCCTTAGTGCAAATTGAGTTTTTAAAATAATTTTTAAAAACTTTGTTCCTGTGAAGAAATTGTAGCAGAGTACCAAAGCTATCATTTTAATAAAAAGCAAGGAAACTTGCAGAATTTCCAGATCCTCAGAGCTTTTCTGCTTTCCTTTGGGCAATACTCTTTTCAGATGTTGACAGCATAAAATTGGTTCAGCACTCAAGCCTTCTTTCTGCAGATTATTTCTATGGATAAATCAGCAGGCTGAATAATTTTTTTCTCCCTTAGCTAGTACTGTGGGACAAGTATTCCAATTACTCCAGGGGTTTTTGTGACATTAAGTGAGGCAATTCAAGAAATCACTCACAATACCCACTTTTAAGATCCCAAAGTATCTTGTATTTTAAACCCTGAATGCTTTCTTCTTACTATACCTGTCTCACTTCATTTTTATTATTCTTTCATTTCTTAGCATTTTAAGCACAGATGCTTTCAGGACAGGGTGAAGTTACTCATGCTTTGTGTGGGTGTGATTGTGTCCATGAAAGTGTAATGAAGTTCTTAATCTCTGAAAATGCTGGCTTTGTCTCTGTCTTCCAATATAGTTAAGCAGAATACATCTCAGGCATTTCCACATGCTAGTTTTGAACCATAAAGTGGTTGTTGTTGTTTGTTTGTTTGTTTTGTTGTTTTTGTTTGTTTGTTTGTTTCATTTTATAGAAGTCGATGCTAAGACTTAAGGCTTGGGAATATGATGATTACCTTTACTGTCAACTTACACAACCTAGAAATACCTGGAAAGAGAGTTTCCACGAAGGACGGTCTATCTCTGAGTGGTCTATGCTCATATCTATGGAAGACTGTATCAATTACATTAACTGATGTGGGTACTTTAGGTGCCAGCATTCTCTAGGCAGGAGGTCCTGATCTGCAGCAGTGTTGAGAGCTAACTGTTCACTAAGTGGCATGAATGAATTCATTCTTCACTGTTCCTCTCTGTGGATGTGACTACTTCAAACCCCTGTCTTAACATCCTGAAATGATGTGTTGTGACCTGAACTTGTGAACTAAACATAAACTTTTTCTTCCCTAAGTTTTTTTTTTCTTATTGTAGTATTATATCCCAGCCACGGAAATGGAACTGGGACCATTGGCATGTTTTATATACCTCCCATATTCATTTCACTCATTTATCTTCCACTGAACTCATGTGAAGTGCTGAACTATGAAAGTAGATAGAATGCAGGCATGTCCCAGACACAGTGCTGTGCTCTTGGAAAACTGGAGAAAGAGGAAGCTTGGGAGAGCTGGCCCTGCCCCTCACCCGCGGCAGCAGTCAGGAGAGTGGGTCCTGCCCCTTCCTGCGGAAACACAGTAGAACTAATTTGTTGGCTGGGGTGCCGATGAGCTGGTCCTGATGGGCTGAGAGTGAGAGAGCTGACCCTGCCTCCCTCCCCTCATCTGCCATGGAGTAGCAGAGGTGAGGAAAAGATGCCCTCCCCCATTGCCCTTTGTCACCCACAGCAGAAAGGAGAGCTGGCCTGGGGGCCACAAGAGTCGGAGAGCCGGCACTGTATCTCACCAACTAAAGCACTTGGGCGAGCAGGCCCTGCACTTTTCCTGGGAAAAAAAGTAGAGCTGGCCCTGGTGGTGTGGGTGTGAGCTGGCCCCGAGTTATATACAAGAGCAGGATAACTGGTCCCACTCCTTGCTGCCTGTTGCAATGGATGAGGTAGGCCAGGGAAGGATGGAGAGCTTGCCCAGGGGATGGTGATGGGAGAAACCTGGCAGGCTGACCAACCCAGCTACCACCCGGACCCAGAATCAGAGCTGAGTTGGTACACCCCAACATCCACCTCATCTGTGAACTGCTGGAGAATGTGAAGGGACTGGACCCACAGATACAAAGCTGCAGGATCTCCATCACACAGGGCAACAACAGGATATCTAAGAGGAGTCCCCGAAATAAAAACAGTAGTTCCATAATCATCTTCTTCTTCTATCTCCCAATAGCCAACAATTTTCAGTGCAAGTGATATTATTTGTCTGATTAATAATTTACTGTCAATCCCTTCCTTAACACATAAGACTGTAAGAACCATGAAAACAAAGAAAAACTTTCAGCATCCAGCAGCCATCAATAAATATTTGTGAACCACACAAGTGCATTATTCAAAGAAAACGTTTTTTTTAAATTTTGCAGCTAATTATATTTGAAACAAAGTTCTAAAAAACCTATTTATGGCCGGGCGGTGGTGGCGCACACCTTTAATCCCAGCACTCGGGAGGCAGAGCCAGGCGGATCTCTGTGAGTTCGAGGCCAGCCTGGTCTCCAAAGCGAGTTCCAGGAAAGGCGCAAAGCTACACAGAGAAACCCTGTCTCGAAAAACCAAAAAAAAAAAACCAAAAAAAAAAAAAAAAAACCTATTTATGTCTCATTTATTTATAGAGTATTTTACAGTCTATGATACATTCTTTTAAGCTACATTTCTAAGAGTAATTTATTCTACAATTTAAATTTCCATGTAAGTTTTCTCTTTTTTTTGATGAAGCACTTTTCTTTGGTTATAATGTTCATTAGACTTATAATAAAAATACATTTTACATTTTTTTATGAAATGTCCATCGTGATTTTATTATGGCATATATCTAACCCAGTAATGAAGGTAAGTTGTCATAATCAAAACACATCACTTTCTAGATGTGTTCCTTATTTCTCCTCTTCTACAATGAGAGGTAAATTGGATTTGTTCTTGAGATCACTTTTAAAAGTAAAGATACTATTTTAACTATTGTTTGTTTTTCATTTTTTGTTGTTGTTTAGATTGTCTTACATACAATGAATTGTAAAAGGAAAATGTCTAAATGAAGCAAATAGAAATGGGCTGCATTCAGGGTCATGATTTGTGCTGCGGTAAGTATTCTATGGCAGACATGATGGCAGATTCTTTCTCAGTACAGCATCATTTTGTTTTGCATACCACAACTTCAGATGTGTCCTGCTGATGACAAAACGGTGAGCATCACAAGCTTCAGTTTTATTGCAGATGTGAAAGGTGAACCTCACACCCATCAGTCTGAAGTGTTTGAGTTAATATGATCACAAGGCAGCCAAATGTGGGACCTTCTGCCATACAAGCCATAAAAAAATGTGGACTTAATTTTAGCAGGCAAGATGTTTTTATAAGACACATTGGAAATTTAGACTTTTTTAAATGTGATGTCACCCATTTCAAACACTGTCAATTAAAAAGATATTATCAATCTTGTGTATCTTAAGACTCCATATTCCCTGCTATATAACTATGAGTGGAGTCCAGTCACCTATATCGTCTTATGGAAGATAGCTGTTAATTTTTTTATTTGGCAGTATAGTAAATGAATTACAGTGTATGAAAATGAACTGGGTTGTCTAAGGTAGAATAGTAATTCTTTGAGAGGAATCTTCAGTGGCTTTTGAATATAAAGCAAGGGGATAATTAAAAGGAGAAAACACTTTATATTACATAAATAATTCCTTCCCTTAAAAAAGAGGCAATTCTATCTTTATCAACAGCAGTGTTTCCTAAGCCCCAAGGAAAACATCACTGAGCTTGTGTAGGTATTGAACCTTATCATTGCATGCAAAGCATTAGCCTTTGGCAAAAAAGGAGGAGTGAGAATTAAATCTTCAAAATAGCTTCAATTATAGCAGCAGGATTAGTACGTACTGTTTCTCTCTGAGTCTTCACATGGATTTAAGATCTATTGCTTTTTTTTTCCCCCATAAAGTTTTAAAGTGTCTCTTTCCTGAAGAGAAGAGCATTATCCTTAATTAAAACTCTGGAGAGAGCTTTGGAGGTCTGTAGTTCAGATTGTGTTGTTTGAGTCTTTCATTTAAGAATTTCATCCTGCCACATTTCTGATTTTGTTTCAAGATTGCTTATTTGAGGGGCATAGGAATCAATTTACTTCCAAGTAGTTGGGTAACTTTTCATATGGTTTATAATGATATCTCAGTAGTCAGACACATGGAGAGTGAGATTTTACTGTCAGCAAGAACTCAATAAGTTCATTGATTATTTACAGGGCTGTTTATTTCAAAGATATATGCATTAAATAAACACCTCATAAAATTACATTTCTTGATCTATAGGCACCAATTTTCTTGAAATTTACTCAAATAAGAATAACAATGTTCACTAGATCAAAGAAATATTTTTTGATGAAAGCAAATATAACCAGTCTGCATAGTCAGATGTCCTTATATAAGTCAAAAAGGTTGCTTCTAGTCCCACACCAATCATTTTCCTTAAGCAACCACCAATTATTTCACTAAACTTGAATCTTCCATTTAGAAAATACATGTTTGAATTTGACCTCTCTAGTGGTCCTGTAATTCTGCCATGGTGAGCCCTATTCTCTCTAGTAGAATATTTTAGCTATAAAAATCTTCAGCAAATAATCAGTTGAGTAAGGAGGAAGCTTATAGAGTGGAAGAGAATCTTTCCTAGTTGTATATCTGATAGAGAATTAACATCCAGAATATATAAAGAGCTCAAAAACAAAGAGTCAAAAGACAAATGAACTGTTCAAAAAACAAAGGTAGAGATCTGAAGAGAGTCCTCAAAAGAAGAAATAAAAATGGCTAATAAATATCTCAAGATATAATCACCATCCATAGCAATTAGGAAAATGCCAATCAAAAGAACTTTGAGATTTCATCTTACCCCTGTCAGAAAGCCTAAGATCAATAAAAAGAAGTGACATAAAATGCTGGAAGATGTAGCCGGGCGGTGGTGGCACACGCCTTTAATCCCAGCACTTGGGAGGCAGAGGCAGGTGGATCTCTGTGAGTTTGAGGCCAGCCTGGTCTCCAAAGTGAGTTCCAGGAAAGGCGCAAAGCTACACAGAGAAACCCTGTCTCGGGAAAAAAAAATGCTGGAAGATATAAAAAACAGAGGAAAACTCATTCTTTATTATGTGAATGCAAACTGGTAAATCCATTCTGCAACTCAGTGTGGAGAATGCTCAGAAAACTAGTAATAAATCTACCATTTGACGCAGATATCTGCCCAAGGTACTCAAATATCCTATCCCACAATGGCCATGCTCACTGCTAGAAATAAGAAGGAACCTAAATGTCCTACAACTGATGTATGGATAATAAATATGTGGCAAAATTACATAGTGGAATTCTACTCAGCTTTGAAGAATATTAAAATCATGAAATGAACAGGCAAATAGATGAAATTAGAAAATATCATACTAGGGGAGACCCAGACCCAGAAAGAGAAGTGCCACTTGTTCTCTCTTACTTGTGAATACTAGCTCAAGATCTTCAGATGTGTAGTTCTCATCTTTTATCAAATAAATTTATCTTTGCAACAGATGGAGATCACTGCAGAAAATCACAACCAGTAAAAATGAAGAGGACAATGGAACACCAGCCCCAATGCATATATGTACAACATACCTCCTGCACCTAAGTCCCATGGAACAGCCCAGAAGAAGGTATGGAAAGATTATAAGAGCCAGAGAACCAGGCTATATACTGTGAGATTATGTATCCTAGAAGTGACAGCTATTCTCATGATGACTCAACAACGTGACTGCCTTAGCAAGACCTGAATAAATACATAACATATATGCTAACATGGATGGGGGATATCTCATGGGGCCCCACCCCTAGACAATGAACTACAGGAAACAAAGGAATGCTGAGAGCAGCAGAACTGATCTTAGCCAGAGATGAGCCCCATAATGGATTATTCACTACCAGGTGGTTAGCTTTGATATAGCATACATACTAACAACACTAAAGGAACTGAGGATTTTCCATTTATATTTATAAATATATATCCCCAACCCTTATCCCTGCCAATACAACCTAGTGCTGTAAAAATGACATAAAGAGACTGCTAAGAAAGGAGAGGAAATATCTGCAAACTGTACACCTGTGAATTATGGAAACACATGAAATTAGGTTTCAAAAGACTCAATAGTAAGAAAACAAATAATCCTATTTAGATTGGACAAAGGCTCTGAATAGATAATGTAAAGAAGACATGCAGCAGCTGACAGGTATATGTAAACACACACAGTATTAGTAACAGCAAGAAAAAGAAAATCAATACCCCATTGATACACATCTGATTCGAGTTAGAATGGTGATAACCAAGAAAACAAAAAGTGTAAGAAATGTGGAGTAAACTGAACGTTTGTTCACCACTGAGAGGAATGAAAACTCCTGCAGTCATCATAGGAAACAGAATGGAAGTGGGTCAAAAAGTTAAAAACATAATTTCCATTTGATCCTGAAATTCACTGCTGGGTATTTCAAGAAAGGAAATCAGTATATAAAACAAACTCATGTGATACCATGTTTAATGCAACACTACACACTATTACAAGGTCACATGACTCCATCTAGGAACTCATCAACAGATGAGCAGTGGTGACCTTTTACCATCTCACTTGTATATACTTTGCAACAACCAAAGGTGCTTCCTTCACAACCCTGTCAAAACATTTCCTATATTCCTACAGGCATAAGGTTTATAATGCCTCTGTCCTTTGGGAAGCATGTCAGGAAGTGCAGTAGCTTCTTCCATATCTCATTCAGCCCTTTGTAACAAAGCTGAAAACTTAAGGAAACAATGGAGAAAATATACTTACATTCTACTCAGTGTTACTTACTAGATTCAAATTCATCTAAAGCACAGAAAGGTTAATGCTGGGAAAATGATAATTTTCTGTTATTTATTTTATTCCAAACTTGGATCTTTAGAAAATATGTATTTACATACACATTTGTGTAGCTAGAGTTTTCCTGCTTGCCCACAGTCAGGACAAATCTCTCTCACCTGCCAGTCCCACAGCCGCTCAAACCCGACCAAGTAAACACAGAGACTTATATTGGTTACAAACTGTATGGCCATGGCAGGCTTCTTGCTAACTGTTCTTACAATTTAAATTAATCCATTTCTATAAATCTATACCTTGCCATGTGGCTCATGGCTTACCGGCATCTTCACATGCTGTTTCTTATCATGGCAGCTGGCAGTGTCTCTCTGACTCAGCCTTCCACTTCCCAGCTTTATTCTCCTCCTTGTCCCACCTATACTTCCTGCCTAGCCAATCAGTGTTTTATTTATTGACCAATCAGCAACACATTTGACATACAGACCATCCCACAGCACTTCCCCTTTTCTTTTTTTTTTTTCAAAAAGGAAGGTTTTAAGCTTAACAAAGTGAAATTACATATAATTGGGAATTTGGGCGTAGCTTCTCTTACTACTTCCTGCTGGAGGGGGGTGCTGTATCTTATGGGGACACAAAGAAAATTTTAGGATTATGGAATAGTCCATGAGGCTATATTGTCTGAGCCAGTTGCCTTCAAGCCATTCTGGATGTTGGATCATCTGGGCCATGATGTCATCGGAGACCTTTCAGGGGGTCTTGGCTGGTCAAACCTGATGTATCTTAATCTGGAACAAATCCATAGCCTTTGGCTTTCTGTGGAAACAAAAGCAGAGTCTCTTTTCCAAAGCAACACATCCTTACATCCAAATTTTGAAGTCAAGGTATCTTTAAAATATACATTTTGGCATAACTCAACAGCTTTTACAATCAAATGTCTTTCTGTAGTTAAAAATCCCAAAGACAACACAATCCAGATTCTCTGTGTAATATTCATCTTTACGTGGCTTATTTTTTATATTAATTTTACTGTCTCTTTAAAGACTTTATCATTTTAAACTATGTATTTGTTTTTATAACTGCATAGATATCACCTTTTTTGTCTCTTTCAAGCCTACGTATATTTTACACACATTGTAAACTATTACATCTGAATCTGTCTTATTGTAAATCTATTGCTTTAAACTGCAGCAGCTGTGGCTGCTGGCTCCGCCCACCTCAGCTTCCCAACATGGTGGTGGGAGGTTTTCCACCAGCTCTGGGAGCTATCGTGGGTCTATGCTTTTATCCAAGCAGTGTGTAGCCCAGAAACCTCTTTTTTTTTGGATCAGCAAAGGCCATATCCACCACGCAGCTTAATGTGCCACTTGCAGAGGCCTCATTCCCGCCATACTGCAGGTCGAGCGCTCACACTAGGAACCCACCAGTAGCTCAAACCAGAAGCTGCCGCTCATTTGAGAGAGACAATTAGGAACTGTTTTTAGCTCCATTTTAGAATCTTTTTTTTTTCTCAGTTTTTAGGTGGAAACTCTTGCCACCACTTTGGACACCATTTGTAGCTAGAGTTTTCCTGCCTGGCCCACAGTCAGGACAAATCTCTCTCACCTGCCAGTCCCACAGCCGCTCAAACCCGACCAAGTAAACACAGAGACTTATATTGGTTACAAACTGTATGGCCATGGCAGGCTTCTTGCTAACTGTTCTTACAGCTTAAATTAATCCATTTCCATTAATCTATACCTTGCCACATGGCTCGTGGCTTACCGGCATCTTCACATGCTGTTTGTCATCCTGGCAGCTGGCTGGCAGTGTCTCTCTGACTCAGCCTTCCACTTCCCAGCTTTATTCTCCTCCTTGTCCCGCCTATAGTTCCTGCCTAGCCAATGGCCAATCAGTGTTTTATTTATTGACTAATCAGCAACACATTTGACATCCAGAACATCCCACAGCACATTTGCTTGAATTATATTTTTCTTTGGAAAACTATAACGTTAACTTTCCATATTCCTTTCCTTCCTTCAACCAAGTCCTATGTGCCATAATAGTGTTCTCATATCTTAATTTCTACTATTTTATCCAGAGAAGTACTTTTCTTCCAGTGCTACCCTTTGCAAGAACACAAATGGTTTGAAAAATTTACTTTTGACAGACTAGCCAAACTCAGTGCTGTAAATCGATGAAGTACTGTGGCAATAGTCATTGAAAAACAGAACCAGAGAACAGAAACTAAGAAAGTTATTTTTCTTCATATCTTACAAATTTATTCTAGAGATCAATACAGTGCTGAACTCTCCTAACCTCTTCATATCTGTTTACTTTGAGAGTCTAGGGAAAGCAAAGAAGAAAGCATGTATCCAATCCTATGTCTCTTCCCCTAATACAGTTTCTAATTACTTGAAAACACAGGAAGCACATCTCAGGAAATAAATACTGGGAGACAGCAAAATACAAGCAGTCAGCTCCTGGGTTAAAAAATGAAAGGAAAACACATGGCTCCAAGCTGACTAAGTTTTCTTTTATCCATCATTTATTCAACATCATTTACATAAGAAAACTAACCCCAAAGACTCCCAACACAGCCTATTGCTATTGCTCTTGGTTGTCTCCCAGAGTTAACGGAAATCTTTAGAGCCGACATTATCGTGTAAATCAGAAGAATGCCACCTCCCTGAAAGACAGAAGCAGCCCACAGTCCTTATAATCTATGGCACCTATGAACCTCAAAAACAACCAGCATGGCATGATAATCCCAAGAGTGTAGTAGTGGCAGTAACCAGTAGCTCTCTAAGTGGACTTAAGACCTGATCAACAAGAAAAGAACTCTATCTGGTATGGAACACCTAGGCAACTACTCAGTGATAGTGAAGCCCTGGATCTTGGAGGATAATCTATTACCACCACTTCACTAAACCAGCATAACCTACCATCTAAACATTTGTTCTTATACTCACAGAGAAGTGTTGTCTTCACTTCTCATCAAAGAAGCTTTTCTTTGAGAAAGACAGAGAGTTACAATCAATAAAAATACAAGGTCGTAGACCCCAGTCCCAATGGAAACATCTACACTTCCACACCTAAGGCTCATGAAACATTGAGGAAGAGTGGGTAAAAGTATGTAAGCACCAGAGGATCAGGGAGCTTGCTGTGAGATTATATTTTCTAGTAATAGAAGCTACAACCGCACAGTCTCAGACACATGACTGGCTAAACATGAACTGAACAAAGACAAAAATAATAGACATACCAAAGTGGATAGAGAAAAGCCATCAGACTTCAACCCTGTGCAAAGAACTGTAGACAACTAAAGAATGCTGAGGATGGGGAAAAAATTGTGTCCAGGAAAGAGCACATCAATTGGTTTCCAAGCACCAAATTGTATTCTCTGAAAACATACACACAGGTAACGTTGTACATACTGAGCAGGTCTAATTGAAGAACAAATATGCACATACAAATATCCACAGGTATATAACAGCAATTAGTGAAAAAAGAGGCCAAAACTTGAAAGCAAGCAAGAATGGGTATATGAGAAGGTTTGGAGAAAGAAACGGGAAGGAAGAAATGATATAATCATATTATAGCCTCAAACATAAAGAGAATTTTTTTAAAAGCAATTATGAAATTATGAATGGAAAGATATAAATTAATCCTTACTGTATGTCCATTATCTTAAAATATGATGTTCACCTGCCTCTATAAGAGTTATTTTTCAGGCTGGAGAGATGGCTCAGCAGTTAAGAGCACTGGTTGCTCTTCCAGAGGACCCGGGTTCAATTCCCAGCACCCACATGGCAGCTCACAACTGCCTGTAA